ACATTGAACAAGCAAGGGTGAGATATGATGCAGACGTGGAATTTGAAAGACAGTATGGGAATTTGGACGCTAGGCTGTCCTTATGCGTTCTCATGGCAAGAGGAATCCTTTGAAAGTTTTAAAAATTCTATTACAGGCCAGGCATGGTGGCTCGCTTCTGTAATCCCAGCACTTTGGGAGACTCATGCCTGTAATCCCAGCACTTTGGGAGACTGAGAGGTCAGGGTTACTTGAGCCCAGGAGTTCAAGATCAGGATAGGTAACATAGTGAGACCCCATCTCTACAAAAAATTAGCCTAGTGTGGTGGTGAATGCCGAGGTGGGAGGATTGCTTGAGCCTGGGAGGTTGAGGCTAGGCTGCAATTAGCCTCAGTTGCACCACTGCACTCCAGTCTGGGCGATAGAGCAAGACCCTGTCTCAATAAAAAATGAAAATAAAAATTTTATTAGAAAATTTCAAAGGGATATGAATAATAGACTGGTATAATAAATTCCTGCTTACCCATCACCCAGCTTCAATGAGTATCATCTCATGGCTGACCTAATTTCATTTCTCTCCAACTTATGTTTTCCTTTTCTTTTATTTTTTTAAATAAAATTCCTGATGTCATTTCCCTTCATCTGTAATATTTCAGAATGTACCTCGGAAAGACAAGTACCCTTTTTTAAAAAACCAAAACCATGGTATTATAATCTACCTTTAAAATTACAACAATTCCTTAATATCATGAAATAGCCAGTTGGTGTCTTTGGCAGAAGTGGTTTTTTCAGAGATGAGCTCCCTGTGTGGGACGGCTTGGTGGGCAGGGGCCAGGAGGCAGAGTCCCATCAGGAGGCTCCCGCTAGTCCAGGCAAGAGGCAGCTGAGGCTGGATGGAGGGTGATGATGAGATGGAAAGGAAGGGATGAAGAACACAGCAGGGTGCCTACGGTGAGGGGACAGATGAGAGAAGGAAAACTGGGGTAGGTTGGGTTTGTTTCTGAGGGCACTGGGTCTTCTTTTGAAAATATCTTTATCAGACCAAGGAAGATGCCGGGAGTCTGTGTGGCAGTTTCTCCGTGTAACTAATCACAGACTTTTCCCACTGGAAAAGAGAACAAGGAACATATGTTGCTGGGAGGGGTGTCAAGCTGGGGGTGAGGTGAAAGGATCTTATTTTGTCAGTGAGTCATTGTTTAGTATGCACCAAGGAGCGTGTTTCTGCTTACACTGAAGAAGCATATTGTGGGGGTAGTGGTACCCCCAGTGTGAAGGGTGAGATTCTCAGCCAACCCCAAGGCAGGAGGCAGGACAAAGAGATCCAAGACTTCCTCCTTGCCACGGATGACTGCTCCCGGGAGACGGGCTACATTTTCTCAATAGAGGTAGAGTAGAGGGAGCCAGACCTTTATATAACATTTGTATAACATTTGCTTGCACAGAATTTTTTATTTATGTGTTTTTGTTTTTTCTTTCACTGCTCCAAACAGTTTCCGTTTTATTTATTATGCAAAACAGCATACAGTGGCATGAAAACGCTTACAAAATTTCACCTGTAGTCCCACCATCTTACCTTACATCTAACCATGTGTATTTCCTCCAGTTTTCTTCCCATCTTTATCTGTAGGCGTATACATTTAGTCAGGCTCTTGTGGAAGACAGAAGCCCTGGAATCTTAGCTTTGTGCTGATTAATAGCAGTGGGACCAGTCTGGGCAGCAGGTGCTGGCCAGTGGGCTTTTCTGTTCCTATTAGATGAGGATGACCCAATGACAGCCAAGTTAGGGCAGAGAGAGAGAGACCCCACCAAGCAGATGGATATTCATGTTCTGTCCAAGGTGGCTTTAGTGTGTGCATCTTACTCAGGCCTTTCTGGGGAAAGCACACCAGCAGTGAGCCACACTGTGCCATCTGCCTGCAGAGGCGCGTGAAGGGTGTCTGCGTGCTTTTACCCTTCCTGATTCTGTGTAGGCTGTGTCTTTCTCCTGCCAACCCTTCGAGGCCCACCCGGAGCATATATGTCACTGCCTCCATGGAGGTGTGGCTAGCGCCCCCCTGGCTGAACATACCTAACCATGCCCTCATGTATGTTCTCATGTATACACATATGCATTGTAACTGGTTGTTTTGTGGCAGTCCCCTCTTCCTGAGCCATTAGAAGAGGAGCTTCTAAGGGCAAGGACAGGGTCAGTCTTCTTTTCAGAATCCCTGACTCCTAGTCAGTGCATCAGCATATAGCAGGTGACTCAGTACATGTGGATTGTCGTGTGCATCAGATGACACATCTGAGTGGTCACTGGGGATGCAAGAGAATCTCACAGCATGCATTTGTGGATGAGACTTAGAGGAAAACACACTGTGCTGTGATAGAAAGAGAGACTGGTGTCAGTGGACAAGGAAAATAATCTAGCACTTAGTCTTTTGTCCTGTGAATTACACCTTAGAGCATCCAAGTAATTGGTGTGGGGAAGTTTCTCTTTTTAAAATATCCCAGCTAATAAATACAGAAGGAATGATGAACTGTCACTATGTGTAGTCTCTGATGAATGAATGGATCTAGCAAAGATAATCAGTGGTAGCTCACATCATAAGAGAGAGGCAGCCATTCTGGGCCTCCAGGCAGAAGTGCACAGGTACCACTTAGGAAGAATAGTGGCCCAAAATTTGACCGAAATCTGCCCAAATCCCTTGATGTAAGTTCTGCTTCTCAGGAAGTACAGGGCACAGAAGAACATGTTATATAATAAAGCGATGTAATCAGCACATCCAGACTGTGTAAATTTACATGACTAATGAGCTACTTTCTTTAACAAATAATTTGCAAGGATAAGGAGAGGTGAAGAGGGGCTTATACCTTAAAAAGGACTTAAGATACATAACATATGACAATGTAGGGACTTAATTGAGTCTTGTTATTGGGTTTTGTTTTTTGTTTTTTTTTTAAAGACAGAATCTCGCTCTGTTGCCCAGGCTGCAGTGCTGTGGCACGGTCTGGGCTCACTGCAACCTCTGCCTCCCAGGTTCAAGTGATTCTCCTGCCTCAGCCTCCTGAGTAGCTGGGACTACAGACATGTGCCTCCACACGTGGCTAATTTTTGTATTTTTAGTAAAGACAGAGTTTCACCATGTTGGCCAGGATGGTCTCAATCTTCTGACCTTGTGATCCACCCACCTTGGCCTCCCAAAGTGCTGGGATTACAGGTGTGAGCCACCGCACCCAGCTAAAAAAATTTTTTTGAGACAGTCAAGGAAATATTTGACTTTTGAAAAATTTTTAAAACGTTTGTTATCTTTTAGAGATACTGAAATGTTTAAGGATGAAACGATGTGTGAGTTTTGCTTCAAAATATTTCATGTGGGTAGGCAGGGTGTATGGATGAAACCAGAATGGCTCTAATGATATAATTTTGGTAAGAGATATGTAGGGGTTCATTATATTGTTCTCTTTACTTTTGTATATGTTTGTATTTTTTCATAATGTAAAAACAAATTTTAAGGGAGAGTGCAACAGGTTACTCTGGAAACAGATTTTTGCATCCCTGGTATGTGATTACTTCGCATTGAGTAACAAAAGTGTCAGAATTTAAGAAAATTGTTGCAAATTGGGTTCTCAGGGAAGTGGACTGAGATGGAATGTAGCATATAGGATGCTTACTAAGGAGAGCCCTTGGGCACAACACCTGTGGGAGGGATGGGGAAGAAACTGGAGTAGGTGCTGAGAGAAGCTGGACTACAGCCCAGACCCAGTGACAGCCTCAGGAGATTCCACAGGAACAGCCTAGAACAGCCTTCAGAGATGTGTTGAGTTAGGCCAACAAACACACGTGTGCAGACACACACACACACACGTGTGTGCCATTCATTGACTATGGCAGCCCATGCAGCTGGGGCTGTCCCTGAAGGGGCTGAAAACTGAGATAGAGCCTCCTAGACAGCCCTCCCAGTGCTGGGACAACAACAAGGCCATCGTGGAGGGGGCTGGGCCCTGCCTCGCACTGTCCATCACAAGAAGTAATATATATTATAGTAATAATGAAGCACTTAAGACTTTAATTTGAGCCTTCTGAAACCTAACAATGAAACAATGATATATTAAAGCAATGTAATTTAATCTAAAATAAAGTGTAGTTAATTTTAGAACAGAAAAAAATTAGGAAAATAGGCATGAAAATATTCATTCATGTACATCAGAACTGAGATGGGATGAGATGTCATAAGGAAACTGTATTTGCCTTGCGTTATGTGATAATGTCTGTTAATTTGGTTTGGAGGGTGATGTAGCTATGCACATTGGAAAGATTAACATATAAATCCCTTCAAAATATATAGAGAATTAACACATTTTCTCCTGTTTATACTGCGTGTTAATGCAGTCTTCTTCTTTTTTTTTTTTTTTTTGTTGCACAGGCTGGAGTGCAGTGGCACGATCTCAGCTCACTGCAACCTCTGCCTCCTGGGTTCCGGCGATTCTCGTGCCTCAGCCTCCTGAGTAGCTGGGACTATAGGCGTGCACTGCCACGCCTGGCTAATTTTTTGTATTTTTAGTAGAGGTGAGGTTTCACCATGTTGGCCAGGCTGGTTCAAACTCCTGACCTCAGGAGATCCACCCACCTTGGCTTCCCAAAGTGTGGGGTTTACAGGCATGACCCGCCACGCAGTCTTAACATTCAGAATGTGCTTTTGCTGGTATATTAAATAAAAATTGAGAAAAAAGTATTTTTACAAGAATTTAAAAAATGGTGTTCAAACTATGTCAGTTCCCTTTTTAAGGTCATATATAAGCACCAGATGCTGCCAGAATGCTTTTAAAATTGGGCTATTTTCTGATTTACTGTGGAGGACTGGTGATTGTTAGGCACAATGAATGAAATTAAGCGTATCATGAAGGGCTGGAAAGGGAAACAAGACAGAAGTGTGTGTTTCAAAGATGACAGCAACAGAGCTGTCTGCATCTTGGCGGACGTGGATCCTTCACCAGGAAGCTCTGAGCAAGCTGCTGTCCTGTGCTTTTCCTCCTTTCAGGTGCCTGGGAGAACAGCAGGCAGCTGTGCATGGTGGGAAGAGCTCCGCCCAATCAGCCGAGAGCAGCAGCGTCACCATGACTCCCACCTACATGGACAGCCCACGAAAGGTAAAGGAAGCCACTGGAGCGGGGAGCTGTCCTGTGCTCTCAGAGGCTCAGTGTGGAGGGTAAAACAGATAGCCCTTCAGATCCAGGATTGCATGTACTGAGGCTTTGGATGAATTATACCCTGAACCCTTTAAGGGTTCTATTACTGTTACTATTTTTATATAAGAACTTTCTTGCTCACAGTTGTAAGGAAGCTAACTTCTAGTTAAATCCAGATATGAAACAGTCAGTCATGCTTGTAATTCCAGCACTTTGGGAGGCCGAGGCTGGAGGATCACTTGAGCCCAGGAGTTTGAGACCAGCCTGTGCAACATAAGGAGACCCCATTTCTAAAAAAATTTAAAAATAAAATTAGCTAGATGTGGTGGGGTTTACCTGTAGTCTCAGCTACTCAGAAGGCTGAGGTGAGGGGACCTCTAGAGCCCAGGAGGTTGAGGTTGAAGTGAGCCATGATCACACCACCGTACTCCAGCCTGGGTGACAGAGTGAGACCCTGCTTCAAAAAAATAAGATACAACAGTTAAGCTAAACTTTGTTGGTTCAATGCCCAAGATCTGGCCTGAGCTTTATATTTGGCCGTCTGGTTTTCCTTCACCCTCATCTTTAGCTTTCCCAGAGGGGAATAGAAAACTACTGAAGCAGCCTCCACCAGAGCTCTCTCTTCTTTGATAATGAAATTCCCATCAGTTTTCTCAGACTGCTGAGAAATACAGTCAAATGGGAGCATCCTGGGGTGGGTGGAAAATACAAAAAACCTGAGACTTTAGGCCTCTATCAGGAACAAGTACAGTAGAGGAGCCGAAAACTCCATGGGTCTTTTAAGACGAGTCGACTTGGCTCTGTCAGCTCCTTCTGGGAAATTCAGACTCTGAGATCACTCTGTTGTGATAGGGCGAGTTGACTGTACTTACCACTCTCTTATCCCTATCACTGGGAGATGAAGGAGATTCAACACATATATGTTATTTTTCAAAATTGTGGTCAAATGATATATCTGTGTTTATTTTACCTCCATATCATGAAAATTTCTTGTGTCATTAAATGTTTTAAAAAAGCATGATTTTAAAAAATAACTATATAATTTTTTCTTTCATTTTTTTTCCCTCAGCAACCCCAAAGAAAAAAATAGCTATATATCATTTTATCATGTGAATATGCCTTCATTTATAACTTCTTTTGGTTAAAATTGTAGATGGTGATTTTTAAATGACTTTTGGTATTTTTCTATAAACTTTAAAAATTATTCTACAGTATACCACAGTTATAATGTTGCAGTGACTATGCTTGCAATAATTATTTGACTACACCTCTGATTAATTCCTTAGCCTAAATACTAGAATTACACTACATGGGTAGAGGGATTAAAATCTGAGAAAAAAGTATCAGCCAAGGCCGTGGGCAATGTGTAAACCAAATGTTGGCAAAGCTAAATACATATTTTAGACTTTGTGGCCAAGAGGCAAAACAAAGCTATTGTGTAAGTACGGTATTTCCATAACCATTTAAAATTATTTTTAAACATAAAAAAATTTTTTTTTTTTGAGACAGAGTCTTGCTCTGTCACCCAGGCTTAAGTGCAGTGGCACAATCTCAGCTCATTGCAACCCTAGCCTCCTGGGTTCAAGCAGTTCTCCTGCCTCAGCCTCCCCACTAGCTGGGATTACAGGTGTGCACCACCATGGCCAGCTAATTTTTTTAATTTTTAGTAGAGACAGGGTTTCACCATGTTGGCCAGGCTGGTCTCGAACTCCTGACCTCAAGTGATCCACCCACCTCAGCCTCCCAAACTGCTGGGATTACAGGTGTGAGCCACCACGCCCACCCATAAAAACCATTCTTAGCTCACTGGCTGTAAAAAAATTAGATGGCTGGCCAGATTTGATCTGCAAGCTGTAGTTTACCGAACGCTTCTCTGGGGAGTGGCTTTAGGTACCAAGGATAGTCTGTGTGTAAGGAATGATCTGCTGACCATGAGTCTTTTCACTTGTCCTCCTTCACATGTACGTAAACCTCAGCACCTCTGCTTCTATATGTTCTGGCAGAGAAGGGACACAGTGGAACAATGAGATACAAATCACCCTGTGTGCCGTCCACCAGATTTTGCCTCTACTCATTACCATCTTTGAGAATCAGAAACAGTGCCGAGGACAAGACTGAAAAGCAGAGAAATTATAGTCACAAATATATTAGATTGCTGTTTAGAAACCTCTCCTGATCATCCAGGTGAACACTAAAATCCACATGCATTGAGCCATCAATAGGGCTGGAAGTAAACTCCTGAATAGTCAAGGTGAAACAAAATGCTATGAGATGGCCAAAGGAAATAGCCCTGCTGACATGCTCGGAAATGCCCAACCGTGTCCCCAAGGAACGCTTCATGTTAGAATGCGTTGCGGGTGCCTGCATCAGCATCTGCACAGCCACAAGTTTCCAAGGTTTCGTATTTGTGTTTGCAGTCACTTATAGGAAGTGGCAGCAGTATCAATAAAATGGGCATCTAAATATTTCAGTTATTCTACCTTTGGAATTGAGGAAAAGTTCCAGAAAAGCAGAGAACTTGAGATGTGTCAAGTGCCCTTCCTGAATTTCTATGATAACCCAGCATAAAAAGTAAAAAGATTGCAAAAGGACAGAGGGTACTACTTCAGAATGGAAGGAGGGGTCACTGAAAAAGTCCTCTGTGTCATTTTTGTTTCGCAGACATGGCTGCTTGAATTCCACATGGGTAGGGTAGGGAGGGAATGACAGCTTTAGAAAACCCCTCACAATGTGAGTGCTGTGTATCTGACATTATATATGTCTTAGCTTGCTGATGATTTTGTTACACAACCAGTGGAGGAGAAGGTATGGCTGCTTCTTTATCCCCTGTTTGCTAAAAATCTAAGCAAGAACTTATCCTGCCTTGAATCCTCTTCTCCCATCTGGCTGCCATGTTTAGTAACAGGCAGAAAAAGCTTCATGGCTCAATGTATCTCTCCAAGAGGGTGACTGGTCACCCAGCCAGGTGGGAGGCCAGGATATTGCCACCAAAGCCCTTACCCTGCAGCCCCACCAAGCTGCTCTGCGGTCTTTTCATCTTCCTTGGCATAGGTCTGAAGGAATTTCAGAGCTATGTGGGAGGGTGAGAGCATCCAAGCCACACTCTGATGAGACCAGAGAGAGCTTGGACACACCTTCCAACCTGGGCGCTTTCTCCCACACAGATGGGATATTCTGCCCAGGAAGGTGTGAGTTTCTGCTCATGCTTTGCGTTTGGATATTGTCTTTCTGGGTGGATCTCTCTCTCTCTCTCTCTCCCTCTCTCTCTCTCTCTCTCTCTCTCTCTTTCTTTTTTTTTCTTTATTTTCCCCATCCTCTTCATGTGTCCTTGTTTCTCTCCTTCCCTCCTTGTTTTTATTTTTATTTTTTGTTTTTCATACCTGTCTCCTTCCCCTGATGGTTAACCACTGGTACACATTCCGTTTCTTCGCTTCCTTGCACCTGCTGCTGCTGCTTCCTCCTCCTCTGACTTCAGGATGGGGCCTTCTTTATGGAGTTTGTCCGCAGCCCACGCACAGCATCGTCCGCCTTCTACCCTCAGGTTAGTCCAACTCCGGGGCTTTGCATGCCTGTCCCATTGGCAGATGCCACGAGCTGGCCTTCTGTTAGGCTCTGAACACATGGCATTGGGCTGCAACTAAATTTGGGGGGCAGTTGAAATTGAATTTGGTCTCAGAAGTGTATGTTCTCTTCCATCTTGTTCGTGGCGGCGAAGCGGGGATGGAAGAGATTAATGTAGAAGAACATACGATTGTATCACTGATGACTTTCTCATCACTGTCTGTTTCACATAGTTGCCACTGATTCTTTGCCACTTTGCAGCATCTTCACTTTTAGGTTTTATGAGCAACATGAAATATGCTTACTTTAGGGCTGAACACTTGTTTTTTTTCCCCTCCCAACACAACCAGATAAATTTATAAGTGTGGCAGAAAGTGGTGAAAAAACACAGCAAATGTTTATTAATAGGCGGGTGTGCTACTTCATAGGTCGAAGGTGTAGCTCATGTAGCTTCTGAATTTCAGTTAAATTATTTGTCAGTTAAAAGATTTGGACCAGGCTGGGCACAGTGGCTCACGCCTGTAATCCTAGCACTTTGGGAGGCCAAGACAGGCGGATCACTTGAGGTCAGGAGTTCAAGACCATCTGGGTCAACATGGTGAAACCCCATCTCTACTAAAATTACAAAAATTAGTCAGGTGTGGTGGCACATGCCTGTAAGTCCAGCTACTCAGGAGGCTGAAGCAGGAGAATCCCTTGAACCCAGGAGTCAGAGGTTGCAGTGAGCCAAAATTATGCCGCTGCACTCCAGCCTGGGCAACAGAGCCAGAGTCTGTCTCAAAAAAATAAATAAATAAAAATAATAAAATAGAATTTTTTAAAATGAGAAAAGAAAAAGTCATTAGCTGGTTAATGGGCATACCACTAGTGAATGACTGAGCTTCTACATAATTCTGCGCACTGCACTGGGAGGGTAAGGGTTTAGTTAACATTGGAACAGGTCAGAGGTATCAAGCCTTTCTGTGCAAGTCTTCAGCTATGCCCACCTGCCTCTTCCCAGTCAGCGGTGTAACTATAGGCAAATCCCTATAAGGACCTTTGAGTCCTAATCTAAGCAACATCTCTAAAATCTGAGTGTGGGTAGAGCACTGTATTTTTGGTTTAAAACAAACATTGGTTGATCCTTTTCACCTTTTACTTTGTGTTTTTTAGAGGTAGTGTCTGGCTCTTGTCCAGGCTGGAGTCCAGCCTTAGCTTCCCAAGTAGCTGGGATTATAGATATGAACCACCATGCCCAGCTAATTTTTTGTTTTTTTCGAGGTAGGGTCTTGCTATGTTGCCCAGGCTGGTCAGCTCCTGGTGTCAAGTGATTCTCCTGCCTTGGCCTACCAAAGCACTGGGATTACAGGCATGAGCCACTGTGTCTGGCCATTAACCTTTTACTTTGTGTTTTTTTTGTTTTTGTTTTGAGACAGAGTTTCGCTCTAGTCGCCCAGGCTGGAGTGCAGTGGTACAATGTTGGCTCACTGCCACCTCCACCTCTAAGGTTCAAGCATTTCTCCTGCCTCAGCCTCCTGAGTAGCTAGGATTACAGGTGTGCACCACCACGCCCAGCTAACTTTTGTGTTATTAGTAGAGAAGGGGTTTCACCATGTTAGCCAGGCTGGTCTTAAACTTCTGACCTCAGGTGATAGGCCCACCTTGGCCTCCCAAAGTGCTAAGATTACAGGCGTGAGCCATTGTGCCCGGCCACCTTTTACATTCTTACAGGAGACTATTATGGAAAGTTTTAGACTCAGGAGAGGCACACAAATAAGGATTATATTACCCACCAGGTGTTTTGTTGAAAAGGTGGGAAGTGAGGTGGGAAAATCTCTTGAGCCCAGGAGAATAAGACCAGCCTGGACAATATTGGAAAACCCTGTCTCTAATTTTTTAAAAAATGTATACATAAAAAAGAAAATTACATTGGGAGGCCAAGGCAGATGGATCACTTGAGGTCAGGGGTTCGAGACCAGCCTGGTCAATATGGTGAAACCCCGTTTCTAATAAAAATACAAAAATTAGCCCAGCGTGGTGGCATTCACCTGTAGTCCCAGTTACTCAGGAGGGTGAGGGAGGAGAATTGCTTGAACCCGGGAAGCAGAGGTTGCGGTGAGCCGAGATCGCGCCACTGCACTCCAGCCTAGGCAACAGAGGGAGACTCCGTCTGAAAAAAACAAAAAAAAATTCTATCAGAGATAGTAAGAGCTCTTTATGCATACACAAAATTAAATTGTACTTTTTCTTTATGTTTATTTTTTATTGTGGTAAAATACACAGAACATAAAACTCGCTTTGTGTATTTTCTGATGTGCAGCATAATATGGAGGAGGGAGGCCAATGGAGTCAGATGGCTGTTTTCTTTTTTCTTTTTTTTTTTAGACAGAATTTCACTCTTGTTGCCTAGGCTGGGTGCAATGGCACGATCCCGTCTCACTACAACCCCAGCCTCCCAGATTCAAGCGATTCTCCTGCCCCAGCCTCCCGAGTAGTTGGGATTATAGGCATGTATCACCATGCCCAGCTAATTTTTTGTATTTTTAGTAGAAATGGGATTTCACCATGTTAGGCTGCTCTGAAACTCCTAACCTCGGGTGATCCACCTGCCTTAGCCTCCCAAAGTGCTGGAGTTACAGGCATGAGCCACCATGCCTGGCCCAGATGGCTGCTTTCAAATCTTGGCCTCTATGCAATGTCAGGGAGCTATGTTAGTCCTGTGAATTAACCTTCTGAACCTGTTTCTTTATTTAAAAAAAAAAAAATTTACTTTGTGTGTTTCTTCATTTGTTAAAGGAAATAAAAAATAATTTCTTTGTAGGGTTGTTCTGAGGATTAGAAATAATATCCATTTCTCAACTGCACGTGGTGACTTGCGCCTATAATCCCAGCACTTTGGGAGGCCAGATTGCTGGGATCTCACTTTTTTTTTGAGATGGAGTCTTGCTCTGTTGCCCATGCTCAAATGCAGTGGCGCGATCTCAGCCCACTGTAACCTCCGCCTCCTGGGTTCAAATGATTCTCCTGCCTCAGCCTCCCAGGTAGCTGGGACTACAGGCATGTGCCACCACACCCGGCTAATTTTTTTGTATTTTTAGTAGAGATGGGGTTTCACCATGCTGGCCAGGCTGGTCTCCAACTCCTGACCTCAAGTAATCTGCCCACCTTGGCCTCCCAAAGTGCTGAAAGTGCTGGGATTACAGAAGTGAGCCATTGCGCCTGGCTTAATTGTGTATTTTTGGTAGAGACGGGGTTTTGCCACGTTGGCCACGCTGGTCTCGAACTCCTGACCTCAGGTGATCCACCCGCCTCAGCTTCCCAAAGTGCTGGGATTACAGGCATGAGCCACCACACCCAGCCGTATTTTTTTTTAATCTTATTGTGTATCTATTTATTAGTAGCCTCACCTTTTTTGGAATGATGTAAGATACAAAAATATAAGTAACACCAGGCGCAGCAGCCCACACATGTAATCCTAGCACTTTGAGAGGTGGAGGCAGGAAGATCCCTATTAGTCCAGGAGTTTGAAATCAGCCTGGGCAACACAGTGAGACCTTGTCTTTACAAAAAATAAAAATAAAAAAATTAGCTGAATGTCGTGGTGCATGCCTACAGTCTCAGTTATTTGAGAGACTGAGGAGGGAGGAGTGCTTGAGTCCAGGAGGTGGAGGCAGCGGTGACCATGATTGCGCCACCACACTCCAGCCTGGGAGACAGAGCAAGACCTGTCTCAAAAAAAAAAAAAAAGAAAAGAAACCATATATATATATATATATATATATATATATGACACATAGAGGAAGGAGGCTGCCTCTGTGACAAAATTCAGATCAATTGAGATAGCAAATTCCAAGCACCTGCTGGATGTAGGCCTGTGCCAAGTGCTGTGAGAAATAACAGGGATGAATAAAATCCTTTATGAATATTAATGCCTGTCTTCTGCTCACCCCTAGATGGCAAGCTTCATGAGGGCAGAGAGGTGGTTTTAATTTGGGATAATATTCTCCTTCCCTGATCTTGACCTTAGAGAATATCTGAGCTGTGGGTCTGCAAGTTATTCCCAAGTTTTCCCTCTCTGGAAGGCATAGGGGATTCTGTCATGGATCCCTTGCAATGCCTCTGTCTGCCTGGTAGGAGCTGAGTGACTGGAAAGGAGCCCACTTAGCCCATTTGTCTCCGGGTAAGACAAAGCAGAGTTGTCATCACTAGCAGCCTCCAGGCACAGTGGAGAGCTGGGGTGGCAGATCCAGCTGTTTCCTTGTAGCTGATGACCCTCCAGCATGAGAAAGTGGGACTGTGACAAGCCCATGAGGTGCAAGGTAGAAGACCCGTGGGGGGCGCCTGTGGTGGGTGGTGCTCATCTCAGAGGCATCTCTAACAGGGCTCCCTCCCTCACTTTCTCTTGTAACTTGGGAGTGCCAATAAGTAGGGGGAAACTGGGGATTGGTGCTGCTGCTGAGAGGTTTGGATTTTTTTTAATCAAACACCAGACTTAGATTTTGCCATTTTTTCAGTTAATGTCTTCTTTCTGTTCTAGGAGCCAATCTCGGGTACCACATTGCCTGGCTTCCCAGTCTCTTCTAGTCTGTGACTGTTTCTCAGGCTTTCCTTTTTTTTTTCTTTTCTTTTTTTTTTTTTTTTTGAGACAGAGTCTCGCTCTCGCTCTGTCACCAGTCTGGAGTGCAATGGCGCAATCTCCACTCACTGCAACCTCCGCCTCCTGAGTTCAAGCGATTCTACTGCCTCAGCCTCCCAAGTAGCTGGGATTACAGGCACACACCGCCACGCCCAGCTAATTTTTGTATTTTTAGTAGAGACAGGGTTTCACCATGTTGGCCAGGATGGTCTCGATCTCCTAACCTTGTGATCCGCCCACCTTGGCCTCCCAAAGTGTTGGTATTACAGGCGTGAGCCACCGCGCCCGGCCCTTTCCTTATTTTTTTAAATGACCTTCACTGCCTTGAGGAGTCCTGGCCAGGTGTCCTATAGAATGTCCCCAAATCTGGGTTTGTCCACGGATTTTTTTCATGGTTAGACTAGAGTTGCAGCTACTCAAAAAGAATACCCCAGAGGGGAAGTGCCCTTCTCATCATGAGGTACCTGAGAGCCACACAACATTACTGGCGACGATAACCTTCATCACTCATTCATCACTTGGTTAATGTCGTATTTGTTAGCCGTCTCCACTATGAAGTTACTATTTTTTCCTTTTTTATACTCCATTTTTTGGAGGCACGTCACTAAGTCTAGCCTACTCTAAAGCAGAGGGGGGAGTATCTACATATGTTAAATGGAGTCCTTTTTTTGGACAATGTTCATAAGATTCTTAAGATGAAAGACATCTCCCTCTACTTGGTTCTTTGCCAGGCATCTACGTGAGACATCTGCCATTCCGTCCATCCCACCTGCCATTTATCTTTGTTCACCACTGATCTTATTCCAAAAGGTTGCTTCATGTGGATCATGGAAGTAAATGCAGCCCCTAAAATAAAAACATGACTAGATGGGGGAAATTCAGGTAAAGAAGAAAAATTAGACAGGATGTAATATAAGGCCTTGTAAAGTAGATAGAATTTTGTGCCAAATTCAGCTCTGAACCTCCTCGTAGCCACAGAAAAGTGGGAAACCTCTGTTCCAAGACTCAGAGTGATTATAAAATAAAGACAGCCAGATTCCTTGGGAGACGCATAACTTTTCTTGGTATTAAGATCTAAACAAAATGCCTTTTCTGTACGGCCCCTTAAAAAATAGACATTGTGTGATACAGAGATAGAACAGAGGTCAGGAAACTATGGGGCAGATCTGGTCCACCATCTGCTTTTGTAAATAAAGTTTTATTGGAATAGAGCCACACCCATTCATTTACATATTGCCTATAGCTGCTTTCTCACTTTCTTATTCAAAGTTGAGTAGTTGTGACAGAGACCATATGGCCCACAAAGCCTGAAATATTTGCTCTCTGATCTCTTGCAAAAAATGTTTCCCAATTCCTGATCTAGAGGACAACACCTTAACCACCCCCCACCCCCACTCCCACCAAAATAGGACCGCAGGACTAATGTGCATTTCTGGTAATGGCCTTCAGGTTAGGCTGGTAGAGCAATTCTTGTATAGTACATGAGAGAACCCCACTACAGGGGCCCAGAAGGCAATGCCTAAGAGCCACTCTTACATGCATAAGAGCTGGGTCTAGTCCCTTTTATTTAGCTTATTCTCATTTAAATTTACGGCATGGTAAACCTTCCTGGTTAGAGGCAGGTGGTAATTGGTAATTGCAAGCTGTCTCTTGCTGCATTTCTCTGTGTGTTTATGGTGCCAGCAAAACCTGTGTGGTTTTTTTTTTTTTACAAATCATTGAGCCTGCTGTAGAACAGCAAAATGGTTCTATCAGAACCAGGAGGAACTTTACCCCCTAAGAGACGTTTGGTGGTATCTAGAGACGTTTTTATTTGTCATAATTGGGGGTTGGGGTTGATAGGTGAGGAGGTATTACTAGTATCCAGTGGGTAGAAGCCAGGGATGCTTCTGAACATCCAACAATGCACAGGACAGCCCCCCACAGCAAACACTTATCTCACCCCAGAGGGCAATAGTGCTGAGACTGAGAAGCCTTGTTTTATTTTCTTTATTTCATTTTATTTTATTTTTTTGAGACAGGGTCTCTCTCTGTCGTCCAGGCTGGAGTGCAGTGGCAGGATCCCGGCTCACGGCAACCTTTGCCTCCTGGGCTCAAGCAGTCTTCCCACCTCATTCTCCCAAGTAGCTGGGACTACAGGCGTGTGCCATCATGCCTGGCTAATTTGTGCATTTTTTGTAGAAATGGGGTTTCGCCATGTTGCCTAGACTGGTCTCAAACTCCTGGACTCAAGTGATCCATTCGCCTTGGCCTCCCAAGGTGCTGAGATTACAGGCGTGAGCCACCACACCCAGCTGAGAAGACTTGTTTTAGAAAACAGTTTTTGCTAACAAAACATCTGATAGAAAGATCCCTTCTGGAAGTACTAAAAAACCTCAAGTTAGGAGGTTCTAAGAGCCTTACACTTTTCCAGAATTGCTGTGAAAGGCTTAGTCCTTCTCTTCATATACTTGCTATGAGTATAACCTTTGATGCATGCTGCTGGGCTTCCAGGTGAACAGGTCATAATCCTGCCTCCAGGACCCTTAAAGGAGATATAACAACATTACAGGCTGGTCACAGTGGTTCACACGTGTAATGCCAGCACTTCGGGAGGCTGAGGCAGAAGGATCAGTTGAACCCAGAAGTCTGAGATCAGCTGAGGCAACATAGCTAGACACACTCTACACAAAAAAATAGCCACGTGTGGTGGTGCATGCCTGTAGTCCCAGTTACTTGGAAGGCTGAGGCAGGAGGATTGCTTGAGCCCAAGAGTTTGAGGTTACAGTGAGATGTGATGGCACCACTGCATTCTAGCCTGAGTGACAGAAGGCAACCCTGTCTCTGGAAAAAAAAAAGATACAACACCATTACATGAGGCACAACTCGGCAGCTACTAGAAACTCATAGAGGTCCAGAGTAGAGAGGGAGATGGATCTGCTTGGAGCCTGGGGTGGAGTGAATCAGAGAACAGTTTGCTAAGGGAGCAGTGTTTAAAATGGCCCTAAAGACTGATGGGATTAGCCAGGTGTGTTGGCTCCCACCTGTAATCCCGGCTACTTGGGAGGCCGAGGCAGGAGAATCACTTGAACCCAGGAAGCAGAAGTTGCAGTGAGCAGAGATCGTGGCACTGCACTCCAGCCTGGGTGACAGAGCAAGATTGTGTCTTTAAAAAAAAAAAAAAAAAAAAAAGGCTGATGGCTTTTTAGCCACTAGTTGTGGAGAAGAGCACCCCAGGGTGTTATGGGGCACATAGACAGGATTTATACACACAGAGTTTCATTTGGCTGGAAACATACACGTGGGTGAATGGTAGGCAGTGTGGTGAGATCTCACGTCAAGCCAATGTTGCGCAGGACCCTTGATGTCCTGTGAGTTGGTTTGCAGTGTAGGGGTTCATGGGGAGACTTGAAAGTTTTCAGAGTAACAGAATGATGGGATTGGAACTGTTCTTAATAGACGATGCAAATAGAGCTGGCTCACAGGTAGGGTTTTTGAGGGAGAGGCCACAATCGGGCCAGTTAAAAGAGTGTTACAGCCCTCCCTGGCCAGAGGAAGTACAGGCATGATTTAAAGATGCATGTGAATCTGCAGAGGGCAGGCCACAGGACTAGGCCTGTCTTTAGATGAAAAGCTGGAGAAGAGATGGCTCTGAGAGTTGAAGCTGAGCAACTGAAAGAGAGGCAAGGAGGTTTGGGGTGGTGGGAAAGGGTGAGTCACAGTGGACAGAGGATATGCATTGTGATGTTCACCTATTTGTCTCTAAATGTGGTCTCTCTTTCAGTCCTGCTGTCCTCATAGGGAGTGATTCTGACTTCTCTACTCTTTCTATGGAGATTTTTCTTTAGTATAAATCTTGTTGTTTGAGGCAGGTAATGAAGCAATTTCTTTGGTCCTGGGGATTTACTGTGAAGAGTGGCCTCTCGTCTCCCCTAGTTTGAAGGGTGGGAGTTCCCAGCTGCTCTGATAGAAGGCAGTGCACACAAGACTGGGTAGAGTCTCTAGACTCCTTTAGCTCTGCCTCTAGGGACCAAGGGAAAGTGGGAATGAGAGGAACAGAAAGGATTGCATTAATTTTTATTTATTTTTTGTGAATGCTTATTGAGTGAATAAGCCAGTACAGCTTATTTACTGTGTTTTCCTGCCGGTTATTTTTGGATTCAAGTATTCGTTTTAAAATCTCCTGCAGGTATCTGTGGACCAAACAGCCACTCCTATGTTGGACGGCACCACTTTGGGCATAAGCACAGGCCAATCCGTGGACAGAGGCAACAGCCAGACCTTTGGGAACTCCCAGAACATAGGAGAACAGGGCTACTCCTCCACAAACTCCAGTGACAGCAGGTGAGATTCAGAGTGGCCAAACCCGTGTTCCTGGGGAGTAGGGACAGTCTGATCTCAAAGGCTGCAAAGGCTGGAAGTCCAAAGCTCTGGGCCGAGTTCTGACTCTGCCACAAGTCACATGGGACCCTGGGCAAGTTAGTCCTTACCCACATCTGTATGGTGGGAGTAATGATCTGTTTCCTGCCATCCTCACAGGATAGCTAAGAGGTTCCCACAGAGACGTAGGAAAGTGTCAAGCGCCACGCAGGAGTACAGGGCTTCTGGAAGGGGCCCCTGCCTAATCTAATTGTTCACTGTGGTGCCTGTGGCACGATGTCTTGCACGTCATAGCATGCAGTCAGAAAAAGAACAAACAGTGGATGAATCACTAATTGTGGCCAAACATGACTGTTCTTCTATTCCTTGGTATCCCGAGGAAAAGGAAGCTGCCTGTACTTCATTTGCTTGAGCAAGTGCGCCAGCTTTTAATGCTGTTGTCAATTCTGAGAAACCTTTTTATTTTCTTCCCAGCCGTGTTTGCTTTATAATAATTATGTCCCAGTCTATTCTTTTTTTTTTTTTTTTTTTAATGGAGTCTTGCTCTGTCACCCAGGCTGGAGTGCAGTGGCGCGATCTCCACTCACTGCAAGCTCTGCCTCCCAGGTTCACGCCATTCTCCTGCCTAAGCCTCCCAAGTCGCTGGGACTATAGGCGCCGGCCACCACACCCAGCTAATTTCTTGTATTTTTAGTAGAGATGGGGTTTCACCATGTTAGCCAGGATGGTCTCGATCTCCTGACCTCGTGAACTTCCCGCCTCGGCCTTGCCTCAGTCTGTTGTTACTGACTAAGCAGTCCTTGGCAAAATGATCTAAGATACTTAACTTTTGTACCCCTGTCCCTGAGAGTAGAAAGTTCTCTGGGGCTGCTTACTTGACTGACCTCTGTCAGGAGTCACTCTGTTTCCCTTATGTCGTAATTCCTGTGCTGGCTTGATCTTTGTCTCATCTACTGCAGCCTGTTCATTCTGGCCAGTAGAGGTGAAGGACACTTCAGAAGCAGGAGCAGGTCTGGACTTCACTGCTCTCTACCTTCACTCATGCCCATATCCCCATCAAGCCTACCTGGCTTTTTGCTCTAGACGTGGAGGAGATTGGAGAGGCTGCCCATTGCATAGAAATTGAGTGCATTTATCGGCTTCCTCATTGCTTACAAGGGTAGAACAGTAGGTTTTCTTCTGCTTTCAGAAGAAGTGAGGAATCAGGGGTGTTTAGGCTGGAGGTGAAAAGACCAAAAATGACATGGCAGGTAGAATCAGGACCAATGACTGAAAAATACAGAGAGCAGATGCTATTTCATGATGAAGAACTTACTAGCAGTGGGTCCTGCTGCATGGAAACGGGCTGCACTTAGAGGAGCCGAGTTCTCTGCCATTGAAAATGTTCAAACAGATAGGACAGCCTCTTGCCCAGACTCGTGGTCTCAGCAGAGACTCAGGTGTTAGAAGGAAGTTCAAGGGTCTTTGAAAGCTTTTTGTAACCCTGAAATTCTGAAATGCTTCCAGTGATTTCTGGACCCTCTGAATAGTCATGAAGAGTAGTCTGGGACTGAGGAAAGGGAGAAGTTCAAAAAACTTGAGGAGCTGCTGGATAAGCCCCACAGCTGGCCCGGTTTGATATGGTGGTTGGCCACTCAGCTGCTGAATATTAAGCACGTTTTGAGGGACCATCACACCTTTGAGCAAGAATGTGGGCAGCAGGTGGTGGAAAGGGCTTTGGAGAGAGACTGACCTGGATTCAAATCCACATCCTGGTACTTCCTGGCTCTTTGACCTTCAGCAGTTCCTTTAGTCAGTTTCAAAGGGTTGGTGTTAATTGTTTTAGTATTTTTTACCACTTTGGGCTTCATGTATGTCAGCCTTGTACATGTGCTCAGCATCGTATAAACATTTGCCTCACATCAGCCCTCAAAGACAGGAGCAGCATTAACCCCATTTTTCACATGGGGGAACTGAGGCCAAGAGAAGCTCCATAGCAGGTTAGTGATGATACTGGGATTCCGTTCCCCGTGCTCTTACAGTGTTACCTAGTCCTCTCTGGTCAGGATTCAATGAAGCTACCTGTGAAAGGCTCTTGGGGCAAACCCAGAGCAATCCAGGGGGTTTCTTGGAAGTGGTTGGGCCGTGGGCCTGAGGAATATTATTAAAAGGAGAGATGCTTACTAAGGGCAAGTTTGGACACAAAAGTACCTTGAATTCTAAATGTGGACATTTTATTTTATTTTTTAATTTTATTTATTTATTTGAGACAACAGTCTCGCTCTGTCACCCAGGCTGGAGTGCAGCAAATGGCACGACCTCAGCTCACTGCACCCTCCACCTCCCAGTTTCAAGCGATTCTCTTGTCTCAGCCTCCCAAGTAGCTGGGACTACAGGCGCATGTCACCATGCCTGGCTAATTTTTGTATTTTTAGTAGAGACGGGACTTCAGTGTGTTGGCCAGGCTGATCTTGAACTCCTGACCTCAAGTGATCCACCTGCCTCATCTTCCCAAAGTGCTGGGATTACAGACGTGAGCCACCAAACCTGGCGCTAAATGTGTACATTTTAAAATAGGAAACCCCCTATGAGATATCCCCCTGTTATAGCTGTTTGGAATTTACTAAAATGCCTTTAATGTCAACATTGTCCTGGTTTCTGGCTGCATAAGAAGGGGAGACTGTTCCTAATATTCGTGCTCTTGACTGCATACGTGCCACCTTGCTTTGCTGACCTGACATCTTGTGTTACAGCTCTCAGCAGCTGGTGGCAAGCTCCTTGACCTCATCCTCCACCCTGACAGAGATCCTGGAAGCCATGAAGCACCCCTCGTAAGTGGCTCATCACAGTGTAGGGTTGGAAGGTTCCCAAAGGCCTGTGCCATAGCCATGCTCAGGCAGTGTGGTTTGGTGGATTCATACATCACTGTACTTCTCACCAGTTTTGAGACCTTGGGCAAGTCACTTGACCTCTCTGAGCCTCTGCTTCCTTGTTTGTAAGATGGGATTTTTTTTTTTTTTTTTTTTTGAGGCAGAGTCTCACTCTATCACCCAGGCTGGATTGCAATGGCGCCGTCTTGGCTCACCCAACCTCCGCCTCAAGATGGGATTTTTAAAAAAGGGATTTTTTAAAAAAGGAGTTAAGCCACAGGGTTCATGTAAAGATTAAATGAAATAATTATGTGAGGTACCTAGTATAATGCCTGACAAGTATAGGTATTCTCTGAATGTCAGTTCCCATCTTTTCCCCTCCCCCTTCTCCTTTTCCCCCTGTAACAACTTCTTTGAATTTTTTTTTTTTTTTTTTTTGAGACAGAGTCTTACTCTGTTGCCCAGGCTGGAGGACAGTGGCATGATCTTGGCTTACTGCAACCTCCACCTCCCAGGTTCAAATGGTTCTATCGCTTCAGCCTCCCGACTAGTTAGAATTACAGGCACGCACCACCACGCCCAGCTAATTTTTGTGTTTTTAGTAGAGAAGGGGTTTCGCTATGTTGGCCAGGCTGGTCTCAAACTCCTGACCTCAAGTGATCCACCCACCTCAGCCTCCCAAAGTGCTGGGATTACAGGCGTCAGCCACTGTGCCCGGCCCCCTTGTAACAACTTATTTTGTCCTCTCATGGGTTTTTCTCTGAGTCTAGGAATAGCATAGGGATACTGCTTTATGGTATTAAATGCTCTAGTGGGAGTCACTTCTTTTTCATCTTTCCTTCCACATATTGCCACGGGGCACACACGTGCCCTGCTCCCTGCTCACCACAATGGAACCCAGGACAGGAGTCCAGCTGCTCTCTGAACAGAAGGGCCTCTCACCGTACTGCTTCATCAGCGCAGAGGTGGTGCACTGGCTGGTGAACCACGTGGAGGGGATCCAGACACAGGCGATGGCCATCGACATCATGCAGGTGAGACAGCAAGAGGAGCCCACAGAGCTGTTTGCTTAGGTCCCGAAAAATCAGGGCCTGCCTTAGAAGCCATCACCCTTTCCAGTAATGAGATCTGCAGGTTGGGGTGAGGATTCATTTTTAATAAGTGGGAGGCCTTTCTGGAATTGATGAAAGAACAAGTCTTGCTTTGAAGTACACTATATCTTGACTTAAAAACCGTGCAGAATTTATTGTCTGAACTGAAATGTTTTGGACAGAATCTGTGCACTTATAAACCTCAGAAAAATCTCTATGATTTTTGGGGGAATGCCCTCCCTCTGACCTCAAGCCCCCAGTTTCCCCTGGTTAATGCATGCTTATTCAAGACTCAATGCTGGATTCAAGGCTCTGCCCCACGGGCCTTCTGTCACCTTGTACTTACTCTGTCAGAGCTGTTAGCACAACAGCATGAAGATCTATCTGTCTCTCATTTGTCTCCTGCCTCAGCCAGCTCCTTGAGGGCAGGATCACCTCTTATTTTCCATTTCTGTATCACCAGTGCCAGGCATGTTGTTTGGCACCTGGTAGGCACTTAACACCATGCTTGCTGGATTTAATTACACTGCTCAGAAGTGGAACTCTGGAATATGGCACAACTGGAACAACAAGGAAATGAGGAAGGGCCAGTTGACTGAGCCAGTTCATGCCATCCTGTCTATACAGGAGCCCCAACTGGAAGTCAGTAATGTTTCCTCACCAGCTGGGTTGTCGTCATGGAAATGTTAAAATCAGTAACTGATTTGAATAAGCATGTGATTCTCAGTTCTCTCTTTGAGGGTCTTGATGTGCTGTTTTGCATAGCCTTTGCCGTATACACTCTCATCTCCCTGAGAATACGATTTCCTTATTCAAATAATGAAATGCTACTACAGAAGTTAAAATGAATGAGCTGAAGGTGCATGTGTCAACATGGATAAATGTCAGAAGCATGATGCGGACTGGAAAACCAACTTACAAAATGATATAATATTATGCCCTTTATTTAAAAATTTAAAATCCCAAAAGAATACCTTATATTCTCTATCATACATGTTTATATAATAAAATTATTTAAGAATAATATTACACTAACCATTTATTTCTGGGGAGAGGAAGATTAATGGGAGTGGGAGAGTCTATGGAGATTTTTTTTTTTTAATAAAAATATCTGAAATCAGTACAGAGAAATGTCAAATTTTTGAAACAGAATAGTGGTATATGTGGATTTCTTTTTTTTTTTTTTTTTTTTTTTTGAGACAGAGTCTCGCTTTGTCACCTAGGCTGGAGTGCAACAGTGCTAATCTCAGCTCATTGCAACCTCCGCCTCCTAGGTTCAAGTGATTCTCCTGCTTCAGCCTCCCGAGTAGCTGGGATTACAGGCATGCACCACTACACCAGCTAATTTTTGTATTTTTGGTAGAGATGGGTTTTCACCATGTTGACCAGACTGATCTCGAACTCCTGGCCTCAAGTGATCCACTCCACCTCAGCCTCCCAAGGTGCTGGGGTTACTGGTGTGAGCCACTGCTCCTGGCCATCTGAATTTCTTTATGCCCTTCTGCATGTTTGAAATATTTGTTGATGATATGAGTTTACATTTTAAAATATATATCAAGTATGACATGTCTAATCTGGGGGAGGAGGGTAGGGTCTCCTCAGTGCTCCTGTCACTCCCTTGTCTCCAGAGCATGACTGAGGGCTGCCCCTTCAAGATGCCCCTCTGCAGGAATTTCAGAGTTTCAATGTCTCTCCTAGAAAATGCTGGAAGAGCAGCTCATCACACACGCATCTGGCGAAGCCTGGCGGACCTTCATCTACGGCTTCTATTTCTACAAGATAGTAACGGAGAAAGAGCCCGACCGAGGTCAGAGCTGAGGCGAATGCGGTTGCCCACAGGGGCAAGTGTTTTTCCTGGTGACTTGCTCTTTCACATGATGGTGCTTCCTGAGCTGCATGTGTGACTTTGTATTATAAGTTGACAGATCTGTCAAATTCCTTGAGCCTTTGTACTTAATGTAAGCATAGCCAGAGTGACAAGCATTTCTTAAGCTACAGTGTGTTCTTGGTGAGAACAGTGTGGGTCAAAGATAAAGCTAAAAGGGGCCAAGGGACCTGGTGTGAGAAAATTCCCACACATCAGTTTTTGGTAGCTGTTTTTAATTAGAGCACCCCACCCTCTTGCCCACCCAGCCCAGGTGGTTCTGGTTATAATATCATGGACTCCAGTCTGTGATTCATAGCACTTTTCACTTGCTGGATCTCCAGTTCAGACTCCATTTCTACCCCCAGGAAGACTCTCAAGCCCTAGCAAGTTTTCCAAGTAATATTTTAAGTATCTGTGGGGTTTTTTTTTTCTTTTGTTTGTTTTTTTTAAATAATGAGAAAAAATAATTCCCCAGAGGGAAAACTCTTTTAGCATGGTCAGAACTGGCTCACATAACTGGAGGCACCCCGGATTCAGACCAGCATCTCGCTGGGTGTGGTGGCTCATGCCTGTAATCCCAGCACTTTGGGAGGCCGAGGCTGGCGGATCACTTGATATCAAAAGCTCAAGACCAGCCTGACCAACATTATGAAACCCTGTCTCTACTAAAAAATACAAAATTAGCCGGACGTGGTGGTGCATGCATGTAATCCCAGCTACTTGGGAGGCTGAGGCAGGAGAATCGCTTGCACCCAGGAGGCAGAGGTTGTAGTGAGCCGAGATTGTGCAACTGCACTGCAGCCTGGTTGACAGAGCGAAACTCCGTCTCAAAAACAACAGCAGGCCGGGCACAGTGGCTCACGCCTATAATCCTAGCACTTTGGAAGGCCGAAGCAGGTGGATTGCCTGAGCTCAGGAGTTCAAGACTAGGCTGGGCAACACGATGAAACCCCGCCTCTACTAAAGTACAAAAAAATTAGCTGGGCATGGCAGCAGGTGCCTGTAATCCCAGCTACTTAGGAGGCTGAGACAGGAGAATCACTTGAACCCAGGAGGCAGAGGTTGCAGTGAGCGAGATCATGCTACTGCACTCTAGCCTGGGCTACAGAGTGAGACTCTATTTCAAAAAAAAAAAAAAAAAAAAAAAAACAGGCCAGGCGCAGTGGCTCACGCTTGTAATCCCAACACTTTGGGAGGCCAAGGCTGGCGGATCACAAGATCAGGAGTTGGAGACTAGCCTGGCCAACACAGTGAAACCCCATCTCTACTAAAAATACAAAAAATAGCTGGGCGTGGTGGTGGCCACCTATAATCCCAGCTACTCGGGAGGCTGAGGCAGGAGAATCTCTTGAACCCAGGAGGTGGAGGTTGCAGTGAGCTGAGATTGCGCCACTGCACCCCAGTCTGGCGACAGAGCAAGACTCCGTCTCAAAAACAAACAAACCAAAAAAACAGCAACAACAGAAAACAAGACCAGCATCTCCAGTACACCTATAGCAAAAGGGGACCTTCCCTGTTCTAGAAGTGACTCCTATCCTGCAGACAAATGGCTTCTCTGCCTCTGGGTTTAAATACTCAAATATGGCTGGGCGCAGTGGCTCACGCCTGTCATCTCAGCACTTTGGGAGGCCAAGTCGGGTGGATCACCAGGTCAAGGGATCGAGACCATCCTGGCCAACATGGTGAAACCCCATCTCTACTAAAAAATACAAAAATTAGCTGGGCGTGGTGGTGCACCCCTGTAGTCCCAGCTACTTGGGAGGCTGAGGCAGGAGACTCGCTTGAACCCACGAAGTGGAGGTTGCAGTGAGCCAAGATCATGCCACTGCACTCCAGCCTCGTGACAGAGTAAGACTCCATCTCAGAAAAAAAAAATCTTACATGAAATGAAGCAGCTAGTGCCACTCCCTGTGCTCTCTTGTTCAAGAATATAGCAGAAGTGGATGTGTGTGGGATTTTTTTCCTTGTAGCTACAAGTATATCCATTGACACTTTTCCCTTTAAATTATACGTTTGACCAGTAGATACCTATCTTCAAGTTGAAAACATACCAGGTTACTGTTATATATTCTGAAATTTGAGGTATGAAACTGATTGTAAGGTCAAGAATGGTGGTGGCTCGTGCCTGTAATCCCAGCGCCTTGGAAGGCTGAGGTATGAGGATCTCTTGAGGCCAGGAGTTTAAGATCAGCCTGGGTAAGCAACATAGTGAAACCCCATCTCTACAGGAAAAAAAAAAAAGAAAATTTGCTGGGCATGGTTGTACATGCTGGTCTTCACAGCTACTCAGGAAGCTGAAATGGGAGGATTGCTTGAGCCCAGGAGGTTGAGACTATAGTGAGCCGGGATTGTACCACTGCACCGAAGACTTGGTAAAGCAGTGCAGACCCTATCTCTAAGAGAAAAAAAAGAAATAAACTGAGAATAAAATATTTTTTAGGGCCGGGTACAGTGACACACACTTATAATCCCAGCACTTTGGGAGGCCAAGGCAGGTGGATCACCTGAAGTCAAGAGTTTGAGACCAGCCTGACCAACATGGTAAAATCCCATCTACTAAAAATACAAAAATTAGCCGGGCGTAGTGGCGCATGTTGCTACTCAGGAGGCTGAGGTAGGAGAATCGCTTGAACCTGGGAGGCGGAGGTTGCAGTGAGCTGAGGTCACACCATTGTACTCCAGCCTGGGCGTCAGAACAAGACTCAGTCTCAACAAAAAAAGAAAAAAAAATCTATATATATTTTTTACATTGAAGTTCACATGACATAAAATTAACCATTTAAAAATGAACAGTTCAGGGCGTTTAGTACATCCACAGTGTTGTGCAACTCTCACGTCCATCTAGTTTCTGACCATTTTCATCACCCTGAAATGAAACCCCATCCCCTTAAGCAGTCACTTTCCAACTCCTCCTCCCACCCCCGGCAACTAATAATCTACCTTCTTTCTCAAAGATTTGCCTATTCGCTGTGTTTCACATAAATGGAACTATACAGTATGTGGCCTTTTGTGTCTGACTTCTTTTACTTAGCGTGTTTTTAAGATTTATCAAGTTGTAGTATGCATCATTAAGAAAATAAGCAATTGTGTTGAGTACTCCTTCTCTCCCCTCCACTTTTCCCAGTGGCCATGCAGCAGCCCGCCACCACCTGGCACACAGCAGGAGTGGACGACTTCGCCAGCTTCCAGCGCAAGTGGTTTGAGGTGGCCTTTGTGGCAGAAGAGCTCGTGCACTCTGAGATTCCTGCCTTTCTCCTGCCCTGGCTACCCAGCCGGCCAGCCTCCTATGCAAGTAGGCACAGCTCCTTTAGCCGAAGTTTTGGAGGACGGAGCCAGGCAGCAGCACTTTTAGGTACATGTTCAACCCAGACGAGGTCTGGGGGTGTGCCAGTGGATGGCTGCGGGAAAGTAGTGGCCAGCCAAGGGAACGATGCCACATGAACCAGGATTAGAGTCACTGAGGCTGTCACAACGGCCACTGTGTCTGTCCGCACTGTTGGCTCCCTTGCTGACTTCCACTTGCTGAGTGGTTTTATGATTGTCCTAACCAACAGACAGTATTTAGCACCTCTCAAATCAGAACATAGTGCCAGACCTGCTCCGATAGGAGAGAAGAAATATGTGGCCAATTTCCCCGAGAGTTCTGTAGGATATAAGAGATGTGAGAGAGTGCTCATTGCACCAGCTAGTTCCTGCCAGAGGCCTTCCCTACAACCATAGCATCCTCCGATCTCAGAAGAGGAAGGAACCTAAAAGGTCATCCATTCCAGACACTCATGCAGAGCAAAAATCTCTCTCTCTCCCCTCTTCCTTTCCTCCCCAAATGTGCTTACCATATTGAAGGATGTAAACTGAAACACTTCCCTCCTTTCCACCATTCCTGCAGCTCTAAGATGGGGGTGAACACCTGCTTATTGAAAGGCGATGACCTCTGATAGGAAATGGGGAACTCTGCCCTGGGGGACTTGACTAATGGGTTGAAATGTGAACTTCTTTAGAAAATACCTGCTCTGGGCAAAGACCATGAGATTTATCTTAAGGGCAAGTTGGAGGATCCTGAAAACCCTCTGAAAGGAAGAAAGCAAATAGAATATAGACCAATCTCTAGGGAAATTCCATGTTCTGCTTTGTTTGCCTGTAAACGCTCAGTTAATTGGAATCCTTTTCTAGCTGGTAAAACGGAGATGTTAATGGTCATCAAAGTTTCTGGATCCAGGCTGGCACGGTGGCCCATGCCTGTAATCCCAGCACTTTGGGAGGCTGAGGTGGGTGGAACACTTGGGGTCAGGAGTTTGAGACCAGCCTGACCAACATAGTGAAACCCTCTCTCTATTAAAAATACAAAATTAGGTGGCTCACGCCTGTAATCCCAGCACTTTGGGAGGCTGAGGCGGGCGGATCACGAGGTCAGGAGATCGAGACCATCCTGGCTAACACGGTGAAACCCCGTCTCTACTCAAAATGCAAAAAATTAGCGAGGCGTGGCGTTGTGCGCCTGTAATCCCAGGTACTTGGGAGGCTGAGGCAGGAGAATGGCATGAACCTGGGAGGCGGAGCTTGCAGTGAGACGAGATCGTGCCACTACACTCCAGCCTGAGTGACAGAGTGAGATTCCGTCTCAAAAAAAAAAAAAAAAAAAAAAAAAATTTAGGCCAAGCACTGTGGCTCATGCCTGTAGTCTCAGCACTTTGGGAGCCTGAGGTGGGTGAACCACCTAAGGTCAAGAGTTCAATACCAGCCTGGGCAACATGATGAAATCCCATCTCTACCAAAATTAGTCAGGTATGGTGGCAGACGCCTGTAATCCCAGCTACTCTGGAGGCCGAGGCAGGAGAATTGCTTGAACCTGGGAGGCGGAGGTTGCAGTGAGCTGAGATCAGGCCATTGCACTCCAGGCTGGGCAACAGAGCGGGACTCTGTCAAAAAAAAAAAAAGTTGTCCGGGTGCGGTGGCTCACGCCTGTAACCCCAGCACTTTGGGAGGCCAAGACGGGTGGATCACAAGGCTAGGAGATCGAGACCATCCTGGCTAACATGGTGAAACCCCATCTCTACTAAAAATACAAAAAAATTAGCCGGGCATAGTGGTGGGTGACTGTAGTCCCAGCTACTCCGGAGGCTGAGGCAGGAGAATGGCGTGAACCTGGGAGGCGGAGCTTGCATTGAGCGGAGATTGCGCCACTGCACTCCAGCCTGGGCTACTGAGCGAGACTCCATCTCAAAAAAAAAAAAAGTTTTCAGATCCTCAGATTCACTTGGATCTGGGTGTGGCTCACTCCAGCATTTTCTAGTGCTGTGTGTGAGAAGTGAAGGGGTGAGGAGGATAGGGCAGAACCATGGAAAGAGCAGCCTCTCCTTTCCCTCAGGCAGTCATGACTTGCTCTTCTCCTTTCCTTGCATTTCGAACTCTCTACTTCCTTGACGTTTTTTGGGGATTAAAGAAGCCATATACTCCCTGTTACCCTGGGGTGTGCTTACTTCCGGCAGCCTAAACCACCTAGAGCACTACCAGGGCTTGAGACCTAAGGCCTTTGAGTAGCAAGCAGCGACCTTGTGATTTTATGTCATAGGAGGACCTATTAGAAATAGCAGATAAGGCCAGGCATGTGGCTCATGCCTGTAATCCCAGCACTTTGGGAGGCTGAGGTAGGAGGATCACTTGAGGTCAGGCGTTTGAGAACAGCCTGGCCAACATGATGAAACCCCATCTCTCAAAAATTACCTGGGTGTGGTGGTGGATACCTGCAATCCCAGCTACTCAGGAGGCTGAGGCAGGAGAATCGCTTGAATCTGAGAGGCAGAGGTTGTGGTAAGCCGAGATGGCGCCACTGCACTCCAGCCTGGGTGGCAGAGTGAGACTCCATCTCAAAAAAAAAAAAAAAAAGAAGAAGAAATAGCAAAGAAAAGGCAGGTAACTACCCTGATGTCAGTGGGAAGCAGAAGCCAATAGTCCAGCAACAAAGGTGGAGTGGGGAAAACCTGTTACAAATATAACAAACAGAAGAACTTGATGAGTACAGTGTTAATCATTCACTTCTAGCACTAGATTGCATACGAGAAGCTTCTCAAGAAACAACTTTACACCATTTTTCTCACGAAATCAAGTTTATTTTTAGTAGCCAAGTTTTAAAGTCTACTTTTTCCTCATAGATAAAAATTAAGAATTTTCATCTCTGCAGAACAAGGAACTAAGCCTGAAAGCTAGGTGCTTTCAGATACGTACCGAAGAGAGAGTTGAAAAGTCACCTTCTCACTTGCCTCGAGGTTGCTTTCTAAGAAAAAGACACAATGCATTACATTAAGTAAATATTGGATTTTGCATGGCGACAATTTATGTGAGAGCTGAAGAAAGCAAAAAGGTTTCTTCCTTTCAAATAAATTTCAAATATTCAAATAAATGCCACAAATCCAAGTGACACCTCCTTGTGGTGAGAGACCCTAGAACCAGCACATGGAGCATATTTACTCCACTGATTTCTTGCAAGTCTGTTTACAGATCTCTTGGTAACACCCCAGATTAGAGGCAGAAAACTGGGGGCAGCTAATGGCAGCAAGTGTATAACACATTTTAGCAAAAATGTTTTACAAAATAAATCTGTTAAATTTTGGTCTTTTAAGGTGGAAAGTAACTCATTTGCTCGTTCTTTCTCTTTTTTTTCTTTTTCCTTCTTTCTCTTATCTCCTCCCCTCCCCTCCCCTTCCCTTCCCTTCTCTTCTCTTCTCTATTTTTAAAAATAGAGACAGGGTCTTCCTATGTTGCCCAGGCTGTTCTCAAGCTCCTGGGTGCAAGGAATCTTCCTGTCTCAGCTTCCCAAAGTGCTAGGATTGCAGGTGGAAGCCATTATGCCCAGCATTTTCTTCCTTTTCTTGAAAGTGTTCAACAAAAGGAATTATTCTAATGTGAATCTTCTCCAGTAGATCATACAAAACCCACGAGCAGGGTTTCTCTACTTCAGCACTACTGACATTTTGGCCCAGATCATTCTTTCTTGTGGGGAAGTGTTCTGTGCACTGGAGGATGTTGAGCAGCATCCCTGCCCTCTACCCAGTAGCACTCCCAGCCCCACCCAGTGTGATAAAATGTCTCCTGACAGTGCCAAATGTCCCCTGGGGGCTGTAAAATTACCCCCAGTTGAGAACCACTGTCCTAGGGGAAATTGAAGGATTCCAGTCAGGAGCCAAGATTAGAGCAAAGCCTCAGAGGGTTTGAAGCCCATCAGTAACTTCCCTAAGCAGGTGTCAGGATGATGCGTGATAAGGGCATGCTTTCAGAGCTTTGAGGTAGAATGAATGGTCAGAGCTGGAGCTGAGATGTTAGAGGGAAGCACTGTCCTTCTCTGTGCTCTGGCCCCTGGGCTCCTCTTGTGCTTTCATTGGTGCCAGTGGTGGTTGCTTCAGTCTTGCCTGCTGTGGTGCGGTGGTGATAACATTAATGCCGATTTGTAGAAAATTTATGTGTCAGGCCCTGTACAGAGCAGAAAATCGTCTCATTAATCTTTACCTCAGTCTACTGCTGGGTACTACAATTTATGCTTTAGAGTTGAGGAAACTGAGGCTCAGAGAGGCGAAGTAATTTGCCTAAGGCTCTGCAGCCACTAAGTGCTAGAGCTGGAGTTTATTCTCAGGACTGCCTAGCCCTGAAGCCTGAGTGCCAAGCATACTGCTTTTCAGCCCTAGGAGACAAAAGTCAAAGCCTGTCAGGACTTCGGATGATTTGTACAATAGCCCAGTTCCAGGAGTGGCTCCTGCCCTCAGTGATGAAGGACACTCAGGTCCCAGGCCCTTGCTACAGAACCACAGCTCTCTGAGCGTGCCCTTTCTTCCCCTCTATGCTGTCCCTGCTGGTCTTCCCAGTGCACTCTCTCCAGTCCTGGCTTCAATAGTTCTTTCACTGTTGTCCCACCAGGACCTGTAACCAATTGATCTTGCTTTCATTTTCTCCCTCTCCCACTCACATCTCGCTTTATGTAATCATAGCTTTGAGCCACCAAACCTCATTACACAGCTTTGAGTCCTGCTCCCCACCCTCATCATCAGCATCTTGTGTCACTGTGAAAACTGAAGCGGTCAAAAGAAAACTCCCACCTGCCATCTGCCCTCGCCCAGTAGCTGTGTCTGTCCCCACTTCTCTGCCTCCCTGTAACGCAGCATCTCCTCCTGCACACGAGACCCCAGCCCTCGCAGTACTCAGCGTAGCACTTTGGCAGTCATCCCCTCTCTGCTAAAGCATCCCTGTCAATCTGTGACAGGCACACACTCTCTCCTGCTGGCAAAGCAAAACTCAAATCGGGTTTCTGTCCATTCCCTCCGCTGGAACAGCCTTCCTGATGCAGGGAGCCCATGTTGTTTAGCC